GACCTTCGCGGAGGGCGACGTGTCCTGCCAGGGCGCCTTGGTGCTGGGCCAGTCGCTGCGGACTCACGGCACGTCCCGGAGGCTGGTGGTGCTCGCGGGCACGCGGGTCTCCGAGCTGCTCAGGTACGGGGCCCGGCGGGGCGGGGCGGGGACGGGTCCCCCAGGGTCACCCCCAAGTCCAGGGGCTCGGCCGGGGTCCGGCGAGGGAGCGAAAGGAGGGAGAGAAGGATGGAACGAGGAGAGGGAGAGAGGAAGAGGAAGGGAGGGAGGGAGGGAGTGAGGGAGGAAGGAAGGAAGGAAGGAAGGAAGGAAGGAAGGAAGGAAGGAAGGAAGGAACAAAGGAAGGAACGAAGGAAGAAAGAGAAAAATAGAGAAAGAGGAAGGAAGGAAGGAAGGAAAGGAGAGGGCGGGAGGGAGGGAAGGAAGGAAAGAAGGAAAGAAGGAAGGAAGGAAGAAGAGAGGGAGGGAGGGAGGGGAAGGGAGGGAGGAAGGAAGAGAGGGAGAGAGGAAGGAAGGAGCAAGGGAAGGAAGGAAGGAAGGAGGGAGGGAGGGAGGGAGGGAGGGAGGGAGGAGGGAAGGAAGGAAGGGAGGGAGGGAGGGAGGAAAGGAGGGAGGAAAGAAGGGATGAAGAAAGGGAGGGAAGAAGGGAGGGAGGGAGGGAGGGAGGGAGGGAGGGAGGGAGGGAGGGAGGAAGAGAGGGAGGGAGAGAGGAGGGAGGGGGAGGAAGGAAGGAAGGATTGAAGGAAGGAAGGAGGGAGAGGAAGGAAGGAAGGAAGGAAGGAAGGAGAGGAAGGAAGGAAGGAAGGAAGGAAGGAAGGAAGGAAGGAAGGAAGGAAGGACGGAGGAGAAAGGGAGGGAGGAAGGAGGGAAGGAAGGATGGAAGGAAGGAAGGAAGGAAGGAAGGAAGAAGGGAGGAAGGGAGGGACGGAGGAAGGAAGGGAGGGAGGGAGGAAGGAAGGAAGGAAGGAAGGGAGGGAGGGAGGGAGGGAGGGCGGAAGAGGAAGAAAGGAAGGAAGGAAGGAAGGAAGGAAGGAAGGGAGGGAGAAAGGGAGGAAGGAAGGATGGAAGGAAGGAAGGGAGGGAGGGAGGGAGGAGGGAGAGAGGGAGGGAGGAAGGAAGGGAAGAGAGAGAAGGGAAGGAAGGAAGGAAGGAAGAAAGAGGAAGGAGGAAAGGAGGGAGGGAGGAGGGAGGGAGGAAGGAAGAAGAGAGGATGGAAGAAGAGAGGAAGGAGGAAAGGAGGGAGGAAGGAGAAGGGAGAAAGGGAGGAAGGAAGGAAGGAAGGAAGGAAAGGATTTGATTAATACAAATATTAATAATATAAAATAAATATGATTAACATTAATGATATAAAATAAATAGGAATGATATTAAAAACATAATTAATAGTGATGTTTATATTACTTTGTAATTAATGCTAGTAATTAATATGAAAACACTAAGTTCTATTATTATTTTTTCCAATACATAATAAAAATTCCTGAGTGCAGAGCCAGGAGGGACCCCCTGAGCATCGCCGGGAGGGACCCCAACAATCAAAACATAAGTAGATAAAAATTTTTTTAAATTATAATAAAGATTTAGCTGTCAGAGAAATTTTATTAATTATTATTCATAATATGTATATTAATTATAAATAATATAGATGATGTTAGTATTTATAATAATACAAATAATATTAATGATACGAAATCAACATGATTGATATTAATAATATAAATAAAATCATATAAAATAAATAGGAATGGTATTAATAAATAATGATGTTTATATGATTTATAATTAATATTAACAATTCATATTAAAACAATAAGTCTTATTATTATTTTTTAAAATAAATAATGAAAATTCCTGAGTGCCGAGCCAGGGGGGACCCCTGGGCATCGCTGGGTGGACCCCAAAAAGCAGAACATAGATTAATAAAAATCTTAAAAAATCATAATGAAAATTTAGAGGTCAGAGCAATTTTTATTGATCATTACTTATAATTAATATTTACATTAATCATAAATATGAATTTAAACAATATTAGTATTCATGATCAATACTAGTAATAATGATATGGAATGAATATGATTAATATAAATAATCTAAACATTAATAGTATAAATAACATATATTTTGTGAAGAATATAAATAAAATTAATGTTTCTATTGATTTATCATTAATATCAATATTAGAACAATATGTCTTATTATTATTTTTTTAATAAATGATAAAAATTCCTGAGTGCAGGGCCAGGAGGGACCCCTGAGCATCGCCGGGTGGTGGTACCCCCAAAAAAGCAAAACATATTAATAATTTTTAAAAATCATAAAAAGTATTGAGAGGTCAGAGCGATTTTATTAATTTTTATTTATAATTAATATTCATATTGACGATGCATGCTAATATAAATTATATTAGTATTTATAATCAATACAGATAACAATAACATGAAATAAATATGATCAACAGTAATAATATAAAAATAAATAGGAATGATATTAATAATACAAATAATATCAGTGTTTCTATTAATATGATTAATATTAATAATTAGTATTAATATTAAAATAGTAAGTCTTTTTTAAATAAATGATAAAAATTCCTGAGTGCAGGGCCAGGAGGGACCCCTGAGCATCGCCGGGTGGTGGTACCCCAAAAAACATATTAATAATTTTTAAAAATCATGAAAACTATTAAGAGGTCAGAGCGATTTTATTAATTTTTATTTATAATTAATATTCATATTGACGATGCATGCTAATATAAATAATATTAGTATTTATAATCAATACAGATAATAATAACATGAAATAAATATGATCAACAGTAATAATATAAAATAAATAGGAATGATATTAGTAAACATAAATAATATCAGTGTTTCTATTAATATATAATTAATATTGATAATGAGTATTAATATTAAAATAGTAAGTCTTTTTATAAATAAATGATAAACAATTCCTGAGTGCAGGGCCAGGAGGGACCCCTGAGCATCGCCGGGTGGGACCCCCGAAAAAGCAAAACGTTCATTAATAACAATTTTTAAAAATTACAAAAAATACTTAGAGGTCAGAGCAATTTTATTAATTTCTATTTACAATTAATATCCATATCAATTATGCATACAGAAAGAACTAATATTATCATTTATAATCAATACAAATAATACGAATAATATGAAATAAATATGAAAACAGTAATCATATAAAATAAGATAAAATATATAGGAATGATATTAGTAATATAATTAATATCAGTGTTTCTATTAATTTATAATATTAATAATTAGGATTGATATTAAAATAGTAAGTCCTTTATTATTATTTTTTTAAATAAATGATAAAAATTCCTGAGTGCAGAGCCAGGGGGGACCCCTGAGCCTTGCCGGGTGGGACCCCCAAAAATGCCAAAAAAAAATTAATAATAATAAAAATGAAAAATCTGCATCCCAGCAAGATCATTTTTCTCTTTTTCACCGTTTCATCGTCTTCTAGTTCACTCGTTCGGTTTGGGGGCCACCCTCCGTCCCGGGCAGTGGCCAGGGCTGACCGCTGGGGGCTCTGTGGTCAGGGGGTCACTCGTGCCGGGACCCAGGGGGACCCTACGGGGATGCCGGGGGTCGAACCCGGGTCCGTCCTGGGGGGGGTCCTGGGGGGTCCCAGGAAGGAAATCCGCGAAGAAATGAATGAGGAACGGGAGGACTGTGTGAGGTTTGCACACTTTGTGTGTGGCCGGAAGTGACCGTGTGGGCAGGGCCGGGGGCCAGGGTGGACACCCGGGGGATGTGACCGCTGGCCCGGCCCGACCCGGCCGCCCAGGTCCGTGCTGGCCCGCGTGTTCGACGAGGTGGTCCCGGTGGACCTGAGGCAAGGACCCGGCTACGTGCGCCGGACGCTGGCCCGCCGGCCCGAGCTGGACGCCGCCCTGGCCAAGCTGCAGTGCTGGACGCTGACCGCCTACAGCAAGTGCGTCTTCCTGGACGCACACACCATGGTGAGTGGGCGCCGGGCACCCCTGGGGCAGGGAGCGGGGACGTGGAGGCAGTGATGCACACGCACACTCACACAGTCACACACACACTCTCACACAGACACTCACACAGGTGCGCACACAGTTACACAGACACACGCACAGACACAGTTACACAGGCACTCACAGAGGCACACAGTCACATACAGACACACTCTTCACACAGAGACGCACACACTCACACGGACACATACAGACGCACACACAGACTCACACACTCAGGCACACACAGACGCACACACAGATACACACACTCGGACAACAGACACACTCACTCAGACACACAGACGCACACACAGACACTCAGGCACACACAGACACACACACACTAACACACAGTCACACACACTCACACAGACACGCACACAGGTGCGCACACAGTTACACAGACACACGCACAGACACAGTTACACAGGCACTCACAGGCACACACTCGCACACAGACACACTCTCACACGGAGACGCACACACTCACACGGACACATACAGACGCACACACAGACTCACACACTCAGGCATACACAGACGCACTCACAGAGGCACACACTCAGACAACACAGACACACACTCACTCAGACACACACAGACGCACACACAGACACTCAGGCACACACAGGCACACACACTAACACACAGTCACACACACAGATGCACACATTCTCTCACACAGACACGCTCCACAGACGCACGCACTCTCACACACCGACACTCATACACACAGACGCACTCACACACAGGTGAGCACACACACACTCGCACACTCTCACACATAGACTCACACAGACTCACACAGGTGCGCTCACTCAAGCACACACCCAGACACAAACTCACACCCACTCATGCACAGTCACACACCCACAGACTCACAGACACACACACTCATGCACACACTCACACACAGACACACACACTTGCACACTCACACATATACTCATACAGGTACACTCAGACACACACTCAGACATAAGCTCACACCCACTCATGCACACACACACTCACGCAGACACACACACACATACACTCACACTCGCAGACATACACTCATACAGGTACACTCAGACATAAACTGACACCCACTCATGCACACACACTCACACAGACACACGCACAGACACACTCACACAGGCACACACAGAGGCACACACTCACACACAGACACACTCTCACACGGAGACGCACACACTCACACGGACACATACAGACGCACACACAGACACACACACTCAGGCATACACAGACGCACACACAGATACACACACTCGGACAACAGACACACAGACGCACACACAGACACACAGACACACACACAGTCACACACACACTCACACAGACACGCACACAGGTGCGCACACAGACACACAGACACACGCACAGACACAGTTACACAGGCACTCACAGAGGCACACACTCACACACAGACACACTCACACGGAGATGCACACACTCACACGGACACATACAGACGCGCACACAGACACACACACTCAGGCATACACAGACACACACACTCACTCAGACACACACAGACGCACACACAGACACTCAGGCACACACAGGCACACACACTAACACACAGTCACACATACTCGCACACTCTCACACTCTCACACATACACTCACACAGACTCACACAGGTGCGCTCACTCAAGCACACACCCAGACACAAACTCACACCCACTCATGCACACTCACACACCCACAGACTCACAGACACACACACTCATGCCCAGACTCACACACAGACACACACACACTTGCACACTCACACATATACTCATACAGGTACACTCAGACACACACTCAGAATAAGCTCACACCCACTCATGCACACACACACTCACGCAGACACACACACACTCACACTCGCAGACATACACTCATACAGGTACACTCAGACACAAACTGACACCCACTCATGCACACACACTCACACAGACACACGCACAGACACACTCACACAGGCACACACAGAGGCACACACACAGACACACTCTCACACAGAGACGCACACACTCACACGGACACACACAGACACACACACAGACTCACACACTCAGGCATACACAGATGTACACACAGACACACACTCAGACAACACAGACACACACTCACTCAGACACACACAGACGCACACACAGACACTCAGGCACACACAGGCACACACACTAACACACAGTCACACACACAGATGCACACATTCTCTCACACAGACACGCTCCACAGACGCACGCACTCTCACACACCAACACACTCATGCACACAGACGTATTCACACACAGGTGCATGCTCACACTCACACACTCTCACACTCTCACACATACACTCACACAGACTCACACAGGTGCGCTCACTCAAGCACACACCCAGACACAAACTCACACCCAGTCATGCACACTCACACACCCACAGACTCACAGACACACACACTCATGCACACACTCACACACAGACACACACACTTGCACACTCACACATATACTCATACAGGTACACTCAGACACACACTCAGACATAAGCTCACACCCACTCATGCACACACACACTCACGCAGACACACACACACATACACTCACACTCGCAGACATACACTCATACAGGTACACTCAGACATAAACTGACACCTACTCATGCACACAGACTCACACAGACTCACAGTCACACACACACTTACACAGACACATTCACACTGACACACACTTGCACACTCACACATATACTCACATTCTCACACACATTCACATATTCACACACTCGCACTCTCACACTCTCACATACATTCACACACACATACACTCACACACGTACACTCACACACAGACACAAACTCACACCCACTCATGCACACAAACTCAAACACACGCTCACGTACAAGCTTACACAATTGGCAGACACCTCCCCCCACACACATTCACACACATTCAAACACTCACATACACACTCAGACACACATACGCACTGAGAGATTCACACACGGACACATACCAACACACGTATACACATAGACACACTCGAATACACACATTCACACACATACACACACAGAAGCACATACACACTCATATACACTCCCACAGACACACAGTCACATATAAACACACACACTCCCACATATACAGTCACAACACGCACGCACAAATAAATACACATACACACGCGCCCACATACTCACACCCGGGTACACACACATCACGCACTCCCAAGGACTCACACTCGCTGACACACAGACACAGAAACCCACGTGCAGACACACCCATAAACCCACGCTCAGATACACACATAAGCCCACGCGTACATACACTCACACATATACTCACACATGCACATATGCACACGCATGCAGACACTCGCACTCACACACACACACTCACAGCCTGTCTCTGCACTCAGCACTCCCTCCCGGTTCTGTTATGGGAGCTCTGAGCACTGATCCGTGAGTCATCCTGAGCACTGATCGCGGAGTCCACCCCGAGCACTGGGCCGGGAGCCCGGCGCGTCCCAACCGGTGCCCACCCGCAGGTGCTGGCCGGCGTGGACGAGCTGTTCGAGCGGGCGGAGCTGTCGGCGGCCCCCGAGCCCGGGTGGCCCGACTGGTTCAGCAGCGGCGTCTTCGTCTTCCGCCCGTCCCTGCACACGCACCGGGACCTGCTGCGCCGCGCGGCCCTCGGGGGCAGCCTGGACGGTACCTGGGCGGCCGTGGACCCCCCACCCACCCCCGCGCGAGACCCGCCCGCGGCTTCCTTCCCTCCTCCCTCCGTCCCTTTCCTTCCTTCTTTCCTTCCTTCCTTCCCTCCTTCCCTCCCTCGCTCCTTCCTTCCCTCCTTCCTTCCTTCCTCCCTTCCCTCCTTCCTTCCTTCCTTCCTCCCTTCCTCCCTTCCTTCCATCCTTCCTTCCTCTTTCCTTTCCATCCATTCTTCCTTCCTTCCTTCCTTCCTCTCTCTCTGTCTCCTTCCTTCCTTCCCTCCTTCCTTCCTTCCTTCCTCCCTTCCCTCCGTTTCCTTCCTTCCTTCCCTCCTTCCTCCCTCCCTTCCTTCCATCCTTCCTTCCCTCCTTCCTTCCTTCCCTCCTTCCCTCCCTTGCTCCTTCCTTCCCTCCTTCCTTCCTTCCTTCCTTCCTTCCTCCCTTCCCTCATTCCTTCCTTCCCTCCCTCGCTCCTTCCTTCCTTCCTCCCTTCCCTCCTTCCTTCCTTCCCTCCTTCCTTTCTTCCTCCCTCTCTTCCTTCCTTCCTTCCTTCCTTCCCTCCTTCCCTCCTTCCCTCCCTTGCTCCTTCCTTCCCTCCTTCCTTCCTTCCTCCCTCGGTACTTTCTCTCCTTTTCCTTCCTTCCTTCTTTCCCTCCTTCCTCCCTCCCTTCCTTCCATCCTTCCTTCCCTACTTCCTTCTTTCCTTCCCTCCTTCCCTCCCTCTTGTCCTTCCTTCCTTCCTTCCTTCTTCTCCCTCCCTTCCTCCCTTCCTTCCCTCATTCCTTCCTTCCCTCCTTCCCTCCCTTCCTTCCTTCCTTCCCTCCCTGCCTCCCTCCCTCCTTCGTTCCTTCTTTTCTTCCTTCTTCTTTCCTCTTGATTCTGTCTTCCTTTCTTCCTCCCTCCCTCCTTCCCTCCCTTCCTCTCTGTTCTTCCCTCTGTCCTTCCCTCCCTTCCTTCTCTTCGTTATTTTCTCCCTTTCTTCCTCTTCCTCCTTCCCCCCCTCCCTCCTTCCCTCCCTCCCTCCATCCAGATTCAATTCCCGGCATCCCCGAGGGTCCCCCGAGCACCTCCAGGAGTGATTCCTGGGTGCAGAGCCAGGAGGGACCTCTGAGCACCGCCTGCCGGGACCCAAAAAAACAAATAATAATAATGATAACAATAATAATAATAATGATAATAATAATAATAATAAATAGAAAACACAGACTTTTTTTTTAAAAAAAAGTCTGAAATGGGCTGGAGCGATAGCCCAGCGGGGAGGGCGTTGGCCTGGCACGCAGCCGACCCGGGTTCGAGTCCCAGCATCCCCTAGGGTCCCCCCGAGCACCGCCAGGAGTCACTCCGGAGGAACCTCTGGGCATGGGTGTGACCCAAAGAGCAGAAAATTAAAAAAAAAAAAAGATTTTCCTGGTCATTTCCTCCCTTATGGGTTAGCGGGCTCTGGGGTGTGTGTGTGTGTGTGTGTGTGTGTGTCCGCACGGTCACTCAGGGCTTCCTCCTGGCTCTGCACTCTGGAATCACCCCCTGGCAGTGCTCGGGAGGGGACCCTCGGCGGATGCCCGGGATGGGACCCAGCTGGGCTCTGTTTGCCTTCCCCGCTGTACAGTGCTCAGGATTTTAGAACGACTGTTCTGTGACATTCCTGATGGGCGGGCCCCTGAGCCTCGGGCCCTTTGCACACACGCGTCCTCCTGGTCCCGCAGGGCCCTGACTTGCTGCCCAGCGGCGGGCGAGATTGTCCCGCACGGGCGCTGACGCTCGGCTTCTTCTCCAGGCTCGGACCAAGGCATCCTGAACAGCTACTTCAGCAGCTGGTGCAGTGCCGACATCCGCTCACGCCTCCCCTTCATCTACAACCTCAGTACGGGCGCCACGTACACCTACGGTCCCGCCTTCCAGCAGTAAGCCCGGGGCGGGGGGTACACGTCTCCTCCCCCCAGTCCTCTTTCTCCTTCGCCTTTCCGGGGACCCCCCGAGACTCCCCACTGTGGGTACTGTGTGAGGCCGCGGCCGTCCTTGGGGTCCGCTGGCCGCCTCCAGTGTGAGACACGGTGTCTCGGAGCCATAAGGGCGCAGGAACTGCATCTAAATATGAAATATGTATTGCAACGTAGTTAATACATATTATTGAATAGATTTTAATTACATATAATTTAATTACATATAAATATGTAATTTGGGTGGGACCCCAAAAAGCCAATAAATAAATAAGATTTTACAAAACCTGTGAATTAAAATACATAGAAATACATAATTTATACAAAATACATATATAGAAATACATGATTTATATAAAACAATATCATTATTAAGTAATAATAACATTAATAATATTATTAATATTATAATATTAATTGATAACAACATTATTATTAATATTTATTCAATAATATATTGACTATATTATAATAAATACTTCACATATATTTTTCATATTTGGGTCCCACCCGGCAATGCTCACAGTTTCCTCCTGGCTCATGCACTCAGGAGTTACTCCTGGCGGTGCTCGGGGGACCCTAGGGGATGCTGGGACTCGAACCCGGGTCGGCCGCGTGCCAGGCAAACGCCCTCCCCGCTGGGCTGTCGCTCCAGTCCCCACTTTCATGTCTTGCCCATGGAACCGAGCGTGGCGAGGAGTCGCTGTGCTGAGTCCCCTTCATAGTTAATATTTTTTCACTGTGTGTTTTTGGGGAAAATGTCTGTCTGGCTCCTTTTTTTTTTCTTTTTTTTTTGGAAGTTGGAGGCCGGGTGTGCAAAATACGGACAGAGTCAGCTCAGGGAAGCGCCCATGGCCCGTGGAGGCTCAGCTGACTCTCCAACAGCCATACATACACAGACACACACACACACGCACGCGCGCATGCATATACACGCTGTCTCACCAGATAGACACACAGAATCACACACACATATGCATACAGATAGACACAGATATAGATGTACACACCAACATGCACAGAGACACAGTGATACACCAAATACAGACATTTTCATATACAGACATTTTCAATACAGACACACACAGACACACACATGCATACAGACACTGTGACACCAGGCTAGACACAGAGTTACAGACACACACACATACAGATAGACACAGACACACATAGATACAGACAGATGCACCAGCATGCATGCAGAGACACAGCAACACACCAGATACAGTCGTTCATACACAGATAGACACATGCGTATGCATATACACACTGTCACAACAGATAGACACACACACAGTCACACACACACATGCATACAGATAGACACAGACACACAGATACACACAGACACACCAGCATGTAATCAGAGACACAGTGACACACCAGGTACAGGTGTTCATACACAGATACACACACACACGCATATACACACTGTCACACCAGGTAGACACACAGAGTCACACACATACATGCATACAGATAGACACAGATGCACACAGATACAGATGTGCACACCAACATGCACACAGAGACACAGTGACACACCAAATATAGACATTCATACACAGACAGACACACACAAACACGCACATGCATACAGACACCGTGACACCAGGCATACACACAGAGAGTCACACACACACATGCATACAGATAAACAGACGCACACAGATACAGACAGACACACCAACATGCACAGATAGACACAGTGACACATCAAATGCAGACATTCATACACAGATACACACAAACACACACATGCATACAGACACCGTGACACCAGTCATACACACATACACTCACACACACACACACATGCATACAGATAGATACAGACGCATACACACACCGTGACACCAGGCATACACACTAGACTCACACACACACATGCATACAGAGAGACACAGACACACATAGATACAGACAGTCACACCAACATGCACAGAGACACAGTGACACACCAAATACAAGCATTTTCATACACAGGCAGAGATACACAGACACAGACATGCACACAGACATTGTGACACCAGGCATACACACACAGAGTCACATACACACATGCATACAGATAGACACAGATACACACAGATACAGATGTACACACCAATATGCACGCAGAGACACAGTGACACACCAAATACAGACATTCATACACAGACAGACACACACAAACACGCACACGCATACAGACACCGTGACACCAGGCATACACACATAGAGTCACACACACACACACGCATACAGATAGACACAGACACAGATACAGACAGACACACCAACATGCACAGATAGACACAGTGACACACCACATACAGGCGTTCATACACACATAGACAAACACATACATATACACACTATCACACCAGATGTACACACACACATGCATACAGATAAACACAGACGAACACAGATACAGACGTACACACCGACATGCACGCAGAGACAGTGTGACACACCAGATACAGGCATTCATGCACAGATAGACATATCTGTGTGTCTGGGGGGCGGTGTGCATGGGTGTCTTGTGTATGCACCTGTGTGTGCGTATCTATGTGTGCCCGTGTCTGTGTGCACGAGTGTGTGTGATTGTATATGTCTGTGTGTGTGTGTCTGTATGCACGGCTCTGTGTGTGTTCAGAGTATGGGGTTGGTCCTAGCAAGTGCTTTTGGCAGTTCCATTGGGGACATGCAAAGCCAACGTCCAGAGGGGTCAGACTTGGGGGTCTTGCCGGGCATGACACAGTTAGTTGTGGGTGCTTGTCCCTCGCAGGTTCGGCTCGGCCGCCAAGGTGGTCCGCTTCTCGGGCCCGTTGAAACCGTGGCACTACAAGTACAACCCGCAGACGGGCTCGGTGTGGGAG